CTTTAATACTTTTACTCAAGTAATTTTCTTAGAGGAGGCTTTAACCTTTACCAAAGTAATTTTGTGGTAAGATACTTGTACTTGTACTTAAGTATCACTTTGAGGTACTTTATACAGCACAGTGTTTCTGTGCTCCAACGCCACTGAATCAGGTGTGTTGGAGCAGGAAAACAAGTAAAACAGGCAGCACCGAGACCCTTCAGGACCAGAACTAGAATTTCTCACCAAAGTTGTCTTTGCAGATGTAACCAGGTTTTCCATTTCTGATGAACTGCACGGCTCCTTCACATCTGTGTTGCTTCAGCTTTATTTCGACTTTATCTGCAATTATTAAAAACAAAAGAAAACATAAATAGAACCAAACAAAATCATAATAATTAGGATGTCATGACCTGTTTTCTCACTCTAAATGTAACGACACGTCAAAGACCCACCAGAACATTTGATTCTTTTCACAGTTGACTTCTGGTAAAAGCTGACGGCCGGACCGGGCCAGCCGGGGCAGTCCCACAGGTTGGTCTCTTTCCCGTTACATTTCAGCTCATTGAGCCACACTTTGTGTTTCATGGACCTGCGCACGTCGCTCGTCGAGTTCGTGACGGGCTCGCCGCACTGAGTGCTCCTGCACACCACCTCTTCGGTGTTGGCGTTCCAGTACTTGTCTCCGACATAACCCAGCTCGTTATTGTAGTAGACCTCAACATGGCCCTCACAGGGGTTGCTTTTGTCCCGTAGGAGCACTCTGAAATGATCTGAGTGAAGAAGAATTCCACTTAATTTTCATAAATATCAATAAAGTATTGATAAAACGTGCTGTCAGTGAAAACTTAGATTATACATTCAGATTAGGCATGTCGAAACTTCTGACAGTCTTTATTTGTTTTTAAGTTTTATGGAACACATGCAGCGTACAACACACTGCTGTCATCCATCTGGTCGGTCTGTGGAGGACCATCATTGGATAAGATGTGGGCTACACCACTCCAGTCACAGCTCCACAAAGAGACACTCACACCGTGTGACTCAGCTTGAGCTTCATGCATGTTTTAAGACTGTCGGAGGAGAATAAAGTCCACACAAAAAGGCCTCAGCTGGGCTTCAACATTTTTAATCACCATGCTTACATGTTCAAATAAAGACTTTATGCATATTAAGCATGAAAAAAGGGAATCAAGGCACAGAAACCAAGAAGACATGGGGTATAATTGTTTTAAAAGCCTTTATTTAATCAGGTCACGAGATTAAAAATCTTCTTTTCAAGACAAACCTGACCAAAATACACCCAATGCTTAAGAAACCTAAGTATATATATATATAT